AGAGTACCCCCCCCCCCCCTCCCCCCTCAATACTCTCCGCAAACCCCCCACCACCCAGAACCGGCAAATCCGCAAGATCTGCAAGTACCTGTGCCTGACCGTAAACCGGCTGGCCAGGACTCGCTACGGCCCCTTCAGCCTGGGAAAGGTACGGGCCGGCGGAGTCGCCGCCGTGGAAATCCCGAAGGCGTTCATGCGTCGTCTCGAGGACGGCGGTGGCTCGCCGGGCGGGGCAGGCGGCGGCGGCAGCGGCAGCGGTAGCAGCAGAAGAAGAGTGGGCCCGGGGCCTGGGAACGGGATGCGGCGGGAAATGGAGGCTGGGGGGATGAAGGTATCGGAGGTGTCGTCGCCGGGGACCGGGCTTAGCAACACTGTAGGCGGGGGAAGGGACACCGGCGATCGCGCTGGTAGCTCTGGAGGGCGGCATTGGGGCGGTGGGTTTAGAGGAGCTGGTAGGTCGTGGGGAGAGAAAGGGGGCCCGCGGATTCGGAAAGGGGTCGGGGCGCCGATGTCACGGGGGGATAACTCCGCCCGTCCAACGGCGCAGCAGCGCGCACGGTAGGGGCAGGTTTTCGGGGGCGGCGCAGCAGAGTGCGGGAGATACGTACAAATAGCCAAGTGCTTGTCGGGAGACTTTTGAAGCCGAAGTCAAACAACTGGACTATTTACTTTTTTGGTCAGGGCTGTGACTTTCGTCTAAAGGTTTGATTTCAGCTTCGAAAAGAACGACCGTGATAGTGAGAAATGGAATGGTTGGCGGTGTTGGAGCGTCTGGTGACCGTTCGTGTCGACTCGTTGCTTGGAAACGTCCCTTTCGTGCCTTTGGGCGAGAGCCGGTTGTAGTGGCTCTTCTGTTGTTGTTGCGGTGTGTGTATCGTATTGGCGCTGAAGACGACACCCGAGGCGTGCAACCGCCCGTTTCAGCAAAATATACGGCCTGTTTCTTGCGACCATCTGTCATGGCTCTCCGTCGACACGTCTCCGCATCACGCCCACGCCACTCAGTCAAGCGAAAACGAAAAACAATGTATGTAAGGTGTCTGTGTGGTGCCTGAAAAAGACACACAAATAGCGATAACAATCGACGAACGAGTTTTCCCGGCGGACTTCGTACATAGACTACGCCAGTTTGCGAGCACGGTATCTACAACGCCGGCCCCGCTACAGCAGCAGAGAAAAACACGTGCGGCTGTCCTCAGCAACGAGACTACTATAAAACGAACGTGTCTACATACGGTTGATGGCCAGTTACAGCATCTAGGACAGCACTATGTTTCGGATGCAACAGCCTGCTCTCGCGTGCACCTCGCGCTCGGGCACCGCATGTCACGAACTGCGGGATCTTCTGCTCTGTAGCATGTACAGGATCTCAGGTCGGCCCGATACTGCAGTCTCGCCGCATTTTGTGTCACAGTCTCCGAGTCCACGGATAGGCTTTTCCCCCGTAGGCGATGTTTTGTTTTTTTTTGCGGCGTTTCACGGAATTTTTCGGGTTTTTTTTTCTAGTGCAAAAAACGCCTTTTTCGGCGACTTTCGGCGCCTTCCACATGTTTTTCGGCGAGTCATAGTTCAGTTTCGGTGATTGTTGGCGATTTTCGGCGACGTACATAGCATGTACTTCCAGTAACAAAAACGAGCGGGTCGCGACGCGGTTGGAATGCTGCGGAGGTCACCTGTCACCTGTCCGCGAAAACCGAAATGATGTGTCCTTCGTCCTTCTCTTATTTTTCTACAAACTACATCTATCTTGCATGTTACGCTGGTTGGTGCGTACATACATGCAATATTCCAAGCCCTCAGTTATCAAACAAATCAACAACGAAATAGAATACTATGAGATGCTTCGATACTTCGACGTTACGCATGGCATGTACGCCTACGTCCGGGCAAAAACATGCATATCATGACAGGTACTGACCCACCAACTACGAAGAAGTAAGACATCTACACGAAACTAACCGAAACACAGGTCATCAGTCGCTTTCTTCATCGCTGCCATCGCTCTGGTCGCTACCGCCGCCACCGCTGTTGGCATCTTCGAAATTAATCGGCACCGTGAAATTAATCGGCGAGAATCGGCGACCTCAATCCATGATTCGGCGTAGCCCCCTCCAAAAACGGCGCTACTTTTTGGTTTTCGGCGACAGTTTTTTTTTTCGGCGGGCATTTTTTTTTTACGGCGACATATTTCGGAATTCGGTGTTTTCGGCGGTCGCCTACGGGGGAAAAGCCTATCCACGGAGCAATTTACCTCCCGATTTGCCGCCAATTCGCCCGCCACACCAAATCTTCCCTCTCTTCGTTGTGAAGAGGAACCTTTCCACTTCCACCGCTGTACCTGGCTGCTGCTGTCTGGATAACGCCGGGAACCGAAAACAAGAGTCCTGCACGGGTGGGTGTACAACTTTGGCGCGCGTGTGGATCCAATTTGACTGAGAGGAGTTACAATCTCTGATGTGACCCCGCCATGCACAGCAGTTGTTTTGAACGGCACGTCAAATAGAGCGGGGGCAGGGTGTACGCTAAATATTAATTCCCTGCTTTCTTCCTGGGCCGGAAACCGGACTCGAGAAATCCGCACGCTCGCTGCCTTCCTCATCGGGACCTCCTGCTCATAAACAACCTCGCTGCACGTGCTCAGCAGGTCTAAAACGAACGCTGAAATACCGCAGTTGCCTCCGGGATGTCGCCTCCTCTATGGGCCCTCAGCCTCCCCGTAGGCACCGTCTTCGTCTTCGTTCCCCGCATCATCTCGTTGACGCTGCAAATCATGTCTGGAGCGCCCCTGAGGAACAGCAGCCCTCGAGAGCACGCCGAGAGCAAGGATGTCGCCGCCAAGGACACCCATGGGTGAGACAGAACAAATACAGCAGCAGTAGGCGACAGCAGCAGCAGTAGGCGACAGCAGCAGCAGCAAGCTGCCCGATGCGCTGCGAAATGTGCCCGCCGCCTGCTGTCATGTGCGCATGTGCGTTTGGTGCCGAGACCGCGAGGGTTGTATCCGCCGGCTGTTGCCTTTTCAAATTCAAAATTCAACTGTACACTCTGTATTGTATAGTGTCGCAACCGTCGAGAGGACGGGGCTGATATCTCCACCAGGCAGGAGTAGGTGCACAAGACCATGCGAATCCCTCCTGAAATCGACACTTTATATTCTAAGCGCCACGTGTCTGTGTCTGAAAGATGTATGCATGTGCTACACACGTCGTTCCTCGTTGTACATTAGTTGCTTCAACATATTGTAGGGATACCGATACATACGCATATCACATGCACAGCAGTAGTAGCTCTACGTTATTCACCGCTGCATGTTGTATGCAGACGGATACCGATAGACTACCGCATACGACACAAGATAACACACCCCCTGGACCGACTTTCAACCCTGGATTTCTCAACAGCAGGAAGAGTCAAATTGCCGAGAACGGCGGCGTTGAAGCCATCTCGTTGAGAGCTTTCCGAAACGTATCGTTTCGTTCATGCGCCCTCGTCGTGGTGTAATCGAGCTTTGAAAAACGGTCCAGGGGGTGTGTTATCTTGAGTCGTATACGGTATAGCGCAAAGACCGATGTTCAACACGATACTGCCTTGTTCTTGGTCCTGCACATGAGATGAACGTATGCGCATGGCAGACACAAGCTCACGGCGGCACCATCTTTGGTTGTCATGAATCATGCCAAAAAGTGTTGACACGATTCTGCTCCGCGCTTTTATTGCGCGATGAAATAACACGCTACCATAGGTACACCATTAGATGAGCAGCGCTCATTACCAACGGATTGTGTGTGTGTGTTTCACATTAACACTTGTTGTGTTCAGGTACGTGCGTCGCGCGTACGCGGCTCACCAGAACAGCTGGGAGGCCATGATCCTGTGGTCTGCGGCGGTGCTCTTCGCAAAGTCGACGGGGGTGGACGTGGACGTGATGAACAATACGGCAGCTGTGTGGTTGGCGGCTCGGTTCGTGTGAGTATAGCATGCATCTAAAACCACCCATGGAAGAGCATGGCAGACGAGGGAGATGAGGGCGTTCTCCCACCTGCTGTTTTTTGTTCTATTTTCTCCAGGACACACCTGTACTTGCCACCCACACTCACTCTCTCCGTCGAAACAGTTACAGGGTGCAGGGGGGGGCTCCCTCACTTCTTGTCGTTGAAGGTTTCGGTGCACTCGTTGGTCATGAATCCCTGTCAGGACGAAGCAACTCCTCCTTTGGGGGAAGGAAGCGTTTCTACTGAGACCTCCTTGAAGACTGTTCTTGAATCTGCTGTATTTGTTTTCCCGAAGGCTCTCGAAGGATAAATTTATTGCCTGGGGACTACGCTGAGTGCGACAGTATCCAACCTTGAAATTCGCCTGAGCGGTGCATGCATAACGTCCCAGTCGGGGGTCAGTCCTTCGTGTTGCGCTGCAACGAGAGATTATGTTACAGTAGGGAACATGGTACAATAGCGTGATGGCGGCGTCGATGTCCTAGTACCTGTGCTCTACTATTTGTACATGGGTCTACTACTTGTACACGGGTGATAATCCTACTACCGCCGCAAGTTTCTAAAGTATCGCAAATCTTGACCCGTCGCTTATTTCTTTACTGTTTGACTTCCACCTCCCCCTCTTTCCGTGGCCGTTCAGATACACACCGGCGTACATTCTGATCAGGAGCAACACGAAGGCGTTCTTCCGAACTTTCGTCTTCACGGTGCGTGGAGAAGGGGATATGCTGCAGTTTTTGTCGTACGAATTTGTCCCCCGGGTGTTTATCAGATTCACACACAGACAAGAAATATGCTGCAGTTTTTGTCGTACGAATTTGTCCCCCGGACGTTTATCAGATTCACACACAGACAAGTAGGTTCTGGCTTTTGTTATGTTGGTTTTTGTACCATCACCATTAGAGGCAGACACGATACGGAAGCTCATTCCTAGTACTGCGTAAAGAACGGAATGGCGTGGTGTACGTGTGCCACCTATTGTTTGTCCTCCCGGCCCGTGTGGTAGGGTTCTTCTCCTGTCAATAGCAGCGGTAGTGCAACACAAGTGCGGGCAAAATGAGTGTTCGTGGCAGAAGAAGTAGCGGAAGCACTGATGGTAGTAGCAGTAGTAGGATTAGGACTGGACTGAGCTTCCGACGGGCTTGACATAATCCAGTCAAAGCTGAAACATCCCCGACCTTGTCCTAAAGACTGTAGTTCGCCCCCTCCCCGGCCCAAACGGCCGCCCATCACCTCATGCATAAGGTCCTGTGGCTATCGCGTTGCCGATGCGGCTTTTCGTATAAGCTTGTCCACGCGATATCGTGCATGATGACCCGTGCAATTTTGTCGCAGAGGGTGGACTGCGTCGGTGCATGTTGAATGTCTGATGTATGTGCAGGTACCAGTTTTCAATGAGCCCGATCCACCGTGAGACAAACGCTCATTTAATACGTTGCAATTCCAAACTGCCCTTTGTTTCACGTGTTCTTAATATTGTACAGATCGGCACGGCCTGTTCCGTGCGCCTCATGTGGCAGGCCGCTCTGAAGGCTTGATAAACTCCCCAAGGGAGGGGAGGTTGCCTTGATGATCCCGTTGACTCACCGCATTGAGCGGCACGTCGCCCCTATCCCCGGGGTCCTCTACCGCCTGGGGTCGCCCTCGGTGACAAGAAGATGGAAGAGGCTATTGATTGGATCACAACTCCTTGGGGTGTCAGTTGGACGATGTTAGACTCGATCGAAATTCCTTGGGTCTTTGTGCTCCTCACTGCGATTTGTAAGGAACGTGTTCAGGTTGACCTTGTCAGGGGTTTTGTGCCTGTGACACAATTTTTTTGATGAGAGAACTCGCGTCTTCGATCTTGTACCACTGAAGCATTGATTAGCGATGTGGTATATGCATCCTGCGATGCAAGTCCCTACAGTGGTGCCGGCTATTGTCTTCCAGAACAACTGGTGAATGAGGTTTTTTGAGCGCTCTATGTCTGCTCTTGATATTCCTGTGGTGGGTAGGCTTTGCCGTCGATAGTGAAATCTCTCGGGGGTAGCTAGCTCACGCCCTTGTGCCCGGTGAGCGCCGGGCGCTCCTCATCTCGAAAGAATGCAACAAAACTCCGTCTCTAAAAAGTCCGGCGCATCTCCGCTCAATGTTTGTGGTTTCAGCGTCCGCGTAGATCTCGAACGTGGTTGCCTGTTTTCCCCGGCGTGGCGGTGCTTGCGTGGGGTAGGAGTACATGCGGAGCGCTCCTGTAGCTCCCGCCGCATGATCGAGGTGGCGTTGGCGCGGACGCCCTTTGTCGGCGACTTTTGTCGGCTCCGCGACTGCAGCACTACTCTCTCTCTCGCACCAAGGAAGTAGAGAGGAACACCTGTCACTTCTTCGGCGTCTTGCTGGGACTCAATATCAATGATAGAGCATTTTTTTTCGTCGCGGTCTGACGTGTTGGAAGAATCTCCATAACGTGAAGAACGATGGGGGGCCGAAACATAAGAGAACCGGTTCCCTCTTTTGCCATGGTGTTCTGATCGGTGTTGGCCGACCAAGCCAAGCGATGCCTCCTCCGGTCGGTCTTCCCAGCGAAACCTCCCACCCCCCCCCCGAAGCGACCGGCAAATGAACCCTGGTCGCCTGCTAGTTTTTTTTGTGGTGAGAGAGAATCTCGAATTGCTACGTGTAGAAGGTAGTATTGTTATGAGGACATTTGTCTCTATTTTTAGGGAAACGATAGAAATCCGTCTATCTGAGCGGCCGGCGCTGCTGTTGTACGCCCATGTACAGAGCCTCATGCCCGCACAACTCTGAAAACCCAGACAGATTCAGTGCCAGGCCTGCCAACCACCAAACGCCGGCCGGTATGTTTTGTAGAGAATCGTGCGCCAGTTTTGCTAAGAATCCCCACTCACATCACTGCTGTATTGTAACTTCTTCAACTCATGTGGAAGTCTACACAGACTATTTCCTACCGAAGAATCGCCCAAAAAGACAAACAACACCCGCTGTGTTGACAGGTAGACTACACCTTCTAGACAAAATAATCGCTTTTGCGCGTACCGCGCACTCGGGCACCTCGTATCGCTAATGGCGGGACATTATATACCTCATGTCTCGGGGGTGGCTCTTGTCAACTGTCAACCAGGCTGTCAGATCGTCAGATCCCAGATTCTGGCGAAAGTCGAAAGTCGGCCCGACTACTGCTGTACGCTGTACAGGACAGTCTCGCCGCATATAGTGTCACACTTGTCTCCGCCGCTGCCCCTGTATGTCCCGTCGAATCACCCGCTTGGCTCACCTCAACCACGCATTGCAACCTGTTCCCAACAGCTCTGCAGGCACGGGAAGCCCTACAGTTGAGAGAAGAACCTATCCACCTCTGTAACTGACTGCTGCGGTCTTGACAGAGCCCGGCATCAACAACAAAGTCCACCGCGGGTGGGTTAATTCAGCGGAGGTGGGACAATTTTTGGCGGAGGTAATTTGGTAGGCTACCTGCTGCTACTCACTACTCCTATTCCTGCAGATTGTAGAACAAGTGTTTCACGAAGGCAAGTGGAGAGGGTATGCTTCCCCACCTTCTTCTCTAGAGGTCTCAAACACGACTCGAGATCCATCGCTCTCTGTCTTCCACAATGTATGCCACAAGGGAGTCGGGATCGCCCTGAACCGCTTCTCGTCGACCCCGTGTTCATGTTTACATCATCATCAGGCCTAGACTGCAGCACGCGTTGTTCGTCGGGGGACTTGCCGCCGATGTCGCCTCCCCTGTGGGCCCTCAGCCTACCAACAGGCACCGTCTTCGTTTTTGTTCCCCGCGTCATTTCCTGGGCGCTGCAAGTCAAGTCTGGGGTGCCCCTGAGCAACGTCAACCCTCGAGAGCAGGTCGAGAGCAAGGATGTCGCCGCCAAGGATACACATGGGTAAGCGAGATGTACGATGCGCTGCACGATGTACGATGTGCTGCAAGATGTAGCCTAAGATGCGCCGCCAAAATCTGTTCCGCATCCATCCGCCGGCATGTCATGTGGTGCTCTTGTGTGAAGATGCGTTTTGCTGAGACGACGAGTGGGTGGGGAGTGCGCACCAGCGGTGCCCCCATTCCCTCTTGAAGTAAATGTAGTTTGCAGTAGCGTCTGGACCCAGTACATTCAGGATGACGGCGAGGCTCTACAGGACAATAACTAAAAAAATCGCGTCTCCCACGTTATATTTGTAGGCACCAGACGACGTGCACAGAGAACAAGCGAATCTCTGCTGGAAACCGACAGTGTACTGAACGTTCTGTGCGTTATTCTGCAAGATGCCACACACACGCTCCTCGTTACCCACCACTGCTAGAGGGGTACCGATATTGCCCGACGTCCCCTGACCAACAAGAAGATACATACCATGGGGTACGTTGCTCGTGTCATGCGGGGGTGAAACAAGGCGCATTTGGAGCCGCGGTGGCATGCACTGCCAACGATAATGCTGTGTGTGTATTTCTTACTATTAGCAATCGACCGCGCAATGTATCCGGCTGACCAATGAAAAGACGTTGTAGTGTGTTTGTTTCACATCAAAGACCGATTGTCGTTTGTTCAGGTACGTGCGTCGGGCGTACGCGGCTCACCAGAACAGCTGGGAGGCCATGATCCTGTGGTCAGTGGCGGTGCTCTTCGCAAAATCGACGGGGGTGGACGCGGGCGTGATGAACAAGAACGCAGCTGTGTGGTTAGCCGCTCGGTTCGTGTGAGTAGCACCCATCCAGACTTAGAAGAGCGTGGAAAGACGGTCGAGAGAGGGCGTTTGTTCGTGTGCCCCTTTGATCATCATTTAAGCTGCAGGGTATACCTTTCTTTGACCACGCATACACAGTCCCCTTCATCAAAATGGGTACACAGCGCGAGCGGGGGTCCTTCATTGCATAGTTCACGCTCTTGGTCGTTGTTTGGCCTTGAATCGAGGTCCGTTCGGAGCCGCTGTTAATATCTTCCATGAGGATATCCAGGATATTTCGCAATCTTCACCAATCGTTTTTTCTTGGCTGAAGACCCCCTCCCGCTCGTCCCGTTGGCCGTTCAGATATACACCGGCGTACGTTATGATCAGGAGCAACACGAAGGCTTTCTTCCGAACTTTCATTTTCATGGTACGTCGAGAAGGGGATATGCTGCAGTTGTTGCGTCTGTCGCGAGCCTGTACCGCCCGGATGTTTATCGCACTCGAAATCACAGACAAGTGGGTTCAGGCTTTGATATCTTGGTTTTTTTACCACCACTGGGCAGACACAATACGGAAGCTCATTCCTAGTACTGCTTATAGAATGGAATGATATGGTGTACGTGTGCCACCAATTCATAGTCCTCCCGGCCCGTGCTTCTCCTATCCGTACCAGCGGTATGTGGTGACAATAGGTGCGGGTAATACAAGTATTCGTGGTAGAAGAAGTAGCGGAAGTACTCATGGTAGTATCGGTAGGATGAAGACTGGACTGAGTTTCCGACGGGCTTGGCACAACTCAGTCAAAGTTTAAAATTCGCTAGCCTTGGCGTTGGAAGCATCACCCGTGCCCCCTCCCCGGCCCGAAGGGCTGACAATTTCACCCTATGTCTGAGGTGATCGCGTTGCTGTTGGGGTCTTTCGTTAAGCTTCTCCACGCACTAACATGCTTCGTGGCCGGCATTGTCGCAGAAGGTAGACTATGTCGGTGCAGGTGTTGACTCTCTGGTGCATGTGCAAGAAGCAGTTTTTATCAACGAGCTCGATTCGTCATATGAGACAAAGTCACGTCTCACTGCCCCCTCCCTCCGTTTTGCCTTTGCATCTCATGTTTTTCCGTTTACAGATCGGCACGTCCTGTTCCATGCGCCTCATGTGGCAGGCCGCTCTGAAGGCTTGACGCAACTCCCTTGAGAGCGCGGTTGACTTGATTCACCCATTGTCTCACCGCGTTGCGAGCGGTACATCCCCCATCATCCCGGGCTCCTTTACCGCCTGGGATCGTTCTCGGTGACGAGTAGATTGAGGAAGCCATTGATTGAATCAGAACTCCTTGGGGGGGGCGTTTGGCAATGTATTGGGTTCTTTATGCTCCTCACTACGGTTTGCCGGGACAGTTTTCGGGTATTGTTTGTCGTGGGTTCCGTGCCTGTGAAGTCACTTGTTGCACTTGTGCGGGGGGTTATTGTTGAAACGCCTGGTACTGATAGGCGATGTCGTACCTGCATGTTTGAGGTGCCACTTCCTAGGGTAAGCTAACTAGCTGTAAATTGAGGGTTACTTGAGCTCTCCGACCGCTCTTGATATTCCTGTAAGTAGGTAGGCCGCCTTTGCCGTCTGTAGTGATATCTTGAACAGGTTCATAGCTGGCCAACGCCCTTGCACTGCGTGCCTGGTGTCAAAAGCATGAGACAAACTAGATTTTTCCTTCATGTGTCTTCGCACAACTTTGTTTGGATGCGGCGATCACGGATAGTCTACATAGCTCTCACGACGGCAGTTCCTTGTTTGCCCGGCGTACCTCGCCCGTCCATTGCGTACGGGGTACACACGGAACACGCGTCTATTGCCACGGCGGCATGATCCGGGCGGCGTGGGAATGGGGTCACCTTATCAATGCTCCCAGTGCAGCATTCATCACTTCATCATGTCTTCCTGCGACTCAATTATCTGCCTGACCTTTTGGAAGGGGATCCTGAGACCCTTGCGACTCTCCCACGCGCATCCCCGGTATCGTGAAGATCGAGGGGCACGGACGGAAAGAGATGAAGAGCTGTTACCTTGTTGTCGCGATAGTTGCACCAGGACACCCCTGATCGCGCTATCTACACACATGTAGTTCGCTTGTTCCAGAGATGAGCCTTCACCCGTGATTGGTGAGACCCTTACACCGAGATCGTGTTCGGTGACCTGAGAGAGCGTCACCCGAAACGCTCAGATGAACCCTGATCGCCTGCTATAGTCGTCGGTGAGCTGAGAGAGCGGGTAGGGCGAGGGCCTAGTTTCTATGGTAGTGGGTGCGTTTCGCTGATGATCTGAAAGCACCTCCTCCGTCTCTGTAGGTTCATCAATGGTTGGACACCCCTCTCCTCCCCACGTCTTGCCCTTACGGTGTGTAGTAGTAGCAGCACACACACGCTTTTCCCACAGCAACCGAATAACGGCGGGCACACCGGTCGGATGGGGGCATCCTCCAAAGCTGCCGTTGCTTGCGTCTGCACATTCAATAACTAGACTATATGTATGCCTGGCCTCTTAGTGCCTACGAGTCCTCTTCCACGCGAAAATAAGCCATTTTCCGCTGCCACAAACCAACCCAAACGCCCGAACCTATCGTATAGATATGCTTTTTATCGCTTTGGAATACATGTACGCGCAATGTGTCTTCGCATCAGAGAGTCGCGTAAGCTTCGGAATCATGCTGTGGACTGTCGATCAGGGCAAAAAAAACACTCCCTTCCTCAGACAAAAACAAATATTCGTATGGTACGTACAGTAGTGCTAACGCTATGCCGCCTTCCTCCAAGTCCAACAACATACTTCGATTGGTCTCAATATTACTTGATCCGCCGCCATCGCCCGTCCTTAGCGCCGTCAGCCTGTGATACCTTCTAGAATATGCACGCAGCTCTGTCACTGGCTGTACAACACGAAATTTTCCCGAGAACACATGAGAAAGCACAGAGAGTGACAGCCCGAACAACAAACAGCTTGCAAACATCTGGGACTAGAAAGTTGAGCTACAGAGTGGCCAACCATACGCATATCCAGCTCAGATGGAGTTACTGCCCACGGAGTGCCTACTGACCGAGGCATCATCGCCGCGTTCGCATGTTAATCGCCCGTCCCAATGACTGCCAAGCGACCAAAGAAAAAACCAAACGGTCAAGAAGCGCTTTCCCCGTGCGAACGAACATGTCAGACGATATTTTCTGGAACAGGCTCCCCACAGGATTACATTGGTAGAGGATCGAAATCACCGCTCGTTTTGGGACATCCCATGACGGAAACACGTTCGGTTCGCAAGCGCCTAACTAGACTGTTTTTTGTTTCACCCACAAAGAAAGATAGAAAGGCCTGAATAGTAAGCAGGAGGGATTGACGCATTCCTCCATGGACACCGAAAACAATACTGTCTGTCGAGATCTTGAAGCACAAGAAAGAAGGCTAAAAAACGAACGACCTCTTCCTCATCCTCCTCTACATCAAGTCCGTTTAGAAAGGCAAGAGGAACAGCTCCGCCCTGACCCAGCCCACCCCACACCCCCAAGAGCCCTGACTACGTCACACACAGCAACATCACGAACTTCAGTGTGTTCGGAAACACAGCAGCACCAGCGGTTGCAACGGCAGCGTAGCAACACCGGCTCAACCACCGCCAGCCACATCAACCTGTCACCTGGCCCTGAACGAGGGCCCCGTGCTGGAGGGGTACTTGGAGGACGTCTGAACGCCCAAACCAGACCCTATCGAGTAGGCGCCGGGGCCCGGCGAACTGCTGCGCCGCGGCATGCCTCTCGCTCCCCCACCCTTGCTGTTGGGGGTCGCTCCCCCGAAGGACAGAGCGTGCGTCGTTTGTGCCATGTTTGAGGACGTTGGCTTGGGGGCAGCAAGCGGCGGAGGAAGGGGGGACGAGGTTGTTTTTTTTCCGGTGTGATTGATTTTTGCGCGTGCGTTGCCCGGGTCTAGTTCAGTATTTTGGTTCTGGTCTTTGCTCCGGGATGGGGATGATTCGTACACAAGATTCCAGCGTTGGGTGTTTGTGGTCGTGCTGTTTTGCTATTTCGAGCACATGCGCTTTTTCTACGAGAGGGTGCCACTGGAATCCACACCAAAGAGGCTAAAATTCGCACACGGCTTCTGGCGCATCTTCAACAAGGCAGAATGAGCCCACAACACGCAAAAAGAACACCAACTTCCTATTTTGTTTTCGGGTGTTTGTCCCAACTGCTGTCAACGACTCGCGCGATCCGTGGGACGTGGACACAGCATCGGGGTTTTCTAGAGCTGAATGGGGGAAGATGTTCCGAAATGTGCTGTAGCAACGCGTTTGTCAGGCTCTCGCCTGCATTTAAACGTTGACCAGGCGTTCGTGACTAATCAGCAACAATTCTCGCATTGGATATAGGCAGTTTTCAAACTGGTGCTATTTTCCTCCGATTGCACGAAGCAGAGCAAAATATACATCGGCAAGAAATGGGCTTGGGCATGTTTTTTCGTTTTCCCTGTTCTTTTGGTTTAATAAACTATTGGAGTGCCGCAAACGAGTAATGTTGTTGGATATAGCTGATTCGTTTTGGATTCCGACCAGTGTTGCCATAAAGACCAAAAGAAGTGTCTACCAGTTGCCAGGGTAACCTTCGTACCGATTTTCTGAAATTGCATCAATATTGCATCAAACTCCGAAACCCTTGGGGCACTAACTACCGTAAGGAGGTGGAAAGATGGCACCCCTCCAGACCGACCTTCAGAGTTTGATTGCTCCAGAACCAAGAGCGTGCTGACAGAGCCCAAGACATACTCCGACGACTAAGAAAAAGGGCATGGTCGTCTTTACATATGTAGTCTAAGGGGGTGCGGGTTGTACGTGAAGCGTCAGAGTGTCCCACTCACGTTGTAGTCCGACGGCCCAGGGGTGACCACAGGCGTGTTCCGCCTGGAGGATCTATTGGGAGGGGGGCCGAAGCTTGACGTCTTCACGCTCTCGAACATGGAGTTGGTCTGGGCCCGGGTGCGAAGCGAAAGTGAAGACCGGGGGGGGTGTTGAGGTACACAGATGGGCCAAACAGGGGTTCGTTCACAGTTTCATGCACAAATATGGTAGGTAGGGAAACCATGTGTGGTAGATAACTCCATCGCTAGTTTATCCGGGACTCTTATCTATGGATACACAGGTGGAGGTCGACCCCCCTTCCCCAGAATGTCGGATGCCCTCGCCCCCTTGTGAAGATCTTGACAAGGTCGAACACCTTGGAGAAGACAACCAAGGCCTCAAAAATACCTCGATGTCTCCCCTTTCGAGGCCTTGGTTGTCTTCTCCAAGGTGTTCGACCTTGTCAAGGCCTCCACAAGGGGGCGAGGGCATCCGACATTTTGGGGAAGGGGGGTGGACGTCCACCTGTGTAGAAAGGAATTGCGATGGATCGATATGAGTTTGCCATGTTTCAGTTTTGCAAGAAAGAGGGAAAACATCTGATGCGGTTCGGAGAATTCTCGCCCCGCTTGTTTCCGTCCACGATTCTTGCCCCACCCTTTTCCGCTTCACAGGAAAGAAGGTGTATTGCTTTATAAGAAAAAAACGTAACACGCGCATGAGGAGCTGAGCGTCCCATGATGTCGTCCGCAGTGCCTTAGGCTTCTGTGGATACACAAAGGTTGCCAAACCCATACCAGTATCTGTCAATATCCTCTTATCTTCGGCAAACCAAAGTTCGTCTGCGACCGAATGATCGCACCTGCTGTGCTCCCAACGTTGATGGGATGAAGTAACCGGCATTCGGTCCGGGGCTCTTATCGGACTCCGCCGTATTGTGCCTCTGAGGACCAGTTCCGAACTTCACCCTGGTTAGGGGTTTGATATAACGGAAGGTCAAGGACGAACATGTGAGCATCGGCGGGTGTACGTGCGAGGCGTGTCTGCCTCTTCCTCCTGTCGACGATAAGGTCCGATATTTTTTAGGCGTGCGTCCCTGCCCCCGAGAGAGGCCATAGCCGTAGATTTCAAGGGCTTGGTTTGAGATCGGGTGCCTCTTTGATAGACCGGGCCCGATTCCACCAGGACAGATGAACCGACCCTGGTGGTAGGAGGGAAGATCCAAGTGGATATCACCATAGTGGCCATGAAAACCAATGGAATCGCGACTGAGTGAGATCTGAGGCGCCGCAGAACGGGGATGGGGGGGGTAACAGCCCGAGAAGAATATTGCGGCACGAGGTTTTCTACTTGTGTTTTCGTTTGAGGCTGCCGGGCAGCGGATTGCCCGTTTGCCAATAAACCGGTTCCCGTTTGTGAACGGGCGCCTTGTCTTTATGAACTCAGAGAACAATGGCTCCATTTTGTACTTGATGGGTGGAGGGGGCGACTAGGAAGCGATCAGGCTGGGAGTACACCCCGCCGAAATGAATAGGAAATACGCAACATGATGGAAGCGAAATAGTACTCAGAACGAACAACGACTGTCCACGGTGCCAGAAACATTGCTGCTCTGCGTGAGCCTTGTGCTTGATGTCTTCCGCAGGGAACCTGCAGCGAAAACATCTATTTCAGTGTGATGTGGGGCCAAATGTAGTAGTTTGCATCACTGCTCGCGCTCTCGATCTACATATCTCTCTCTCCTCTCCCTCTCCCCCCTTCTCTCCCTCTATGACGCATCGCCGTGGATCATCAATGAAATATTTCATACTACAATGCACAACCTAACGTCGTCGGGTTCGTGTCGATGGAAATCGCACTTCTTCTGAATATAGGGTTCGGATTGACGCAGACAGAGGCTGAAAGCACAAGGAGCCAAAAGTATTGTCGCCATGGTATCGAAGTAGCAGAGAACGGTGAAGTGAAAATGAGTGAAAACAAAAGAGCAGTGACGATCAACTATCAGGTCTACAATATATGACAGGTAAACAAAACGTGGGGTACCGCGTTGCCACGACACCGCTTCCCTTGAGGGCGATTCAAATGCTGATTGCGGAAGGGAAGGTGAGTGCCCTGCTTATGACTACGTACTATTTCGGGAGCGGCGTGCGAAATATCATTCATTCTTTCATTCCCGCCGGGCTATTTCTGTGCATGCAGAAGTAGGGTTTCTGCCCAGGCATTGCGCTTGTTTCTTTGTTCTCGATAAAGGAACTCCGCCTTCGTCGGCAAGTTCGTGAACGAGTCGCTCGGATGTGGGTTTAGGGTTGGCGGTAGCGCCATTTCTTTTCCCGGTTCTCTCTGCCGGCGTCATTCAATATTCTAACGGACCTGCAAAGTCGACAGCAGTGTGTTGTTTGAAGAAGGTTGTGTCTTGCGAAAGTTCATCATGTTTCTGTTGGCGGATAGATGGGAACAATAAGCAATCAAACGCAAAAAATAAGTCCTCAATGGTGTAACTCACCCGCGAGTGGGTGACGACTTGCAGGCGGACACCGCTCTCCGCAAGTTCTCCGGATCATACGCCTGAGGCCCCGGACACTTTCCTGGGTTGTCCACGGGCCTGTTCATGCGAGGAAAACGAGATAGCCGGGGGGTAAGTCGATCAGATGTGCTTGGTAAAGTCATACAACGCCTGAACATTATCACCCAGGGTCCTCTCATGATCGGGGTTCTTATTCAGAAGAACCAGCAACTACACTTCGCACGATTCACTTCCGATTTTGAACTTCACTTATGATCCATCGAGCCCATTGGACTACCTATCGAATTGTACTGTCATATTGTATCAATTTCATTCTGGGCTGAGATATCAAGTTTCTCACTTTAGACTCAGACGAAAGTCATGCACCACCTCGAACGTGCCATGAGTCGTACAATAACGAGTCTCGGAAATATTTCAAAGATAAAGTCCTTGGTCTCGCTCATTGGCCCAGCTGCGAGGAAGTAAGGAAACAATCGTTTCCGTCTATCGGAGCGGTTTCGGTTGAAGGACTGCAACCCTATGAAAAAATTCACTCTTCTTGACACTACGTTTCACTACTGTCGTCCGTGCACCCGGACGTATTCTTGTTCAATCGTGGGTCTTCAATAGTAGGGTGGATTGTGAAATATAGGGCAGAGGGCCAGTATTGGGCGAGTAGTACCTCCTGGCAAAGCAAGATTGTTCATTTCGAACAGGGCGTGTGCCCGCTATAGGTTCGCCATAGAGCGCGAGTGAATTGGCCCGGCAATAGAGGACCCCGATGGCAATAGTATTTGAATTTTGCTGTCGCTCAACTGCAATAACTGTCCATTCATGACGTCAGTCGCCAGATGTTCGTGCACTTGTGACAGTGAGAGAATCGGCCACGCAAGCACTGATCGATCAAGCACACGGGTATGGTGTCACTCACTAAGTTTCGCGGCAAGAAGGAACGCTTTCAGCCTTTGAAAAAGCGCTGCTGCTTTTTGAATGTGGCGTAGCAATCTTCCGGCCTATGTAGCTCCAACTGCAAACGCTCGAGCGAGAACGTGTCTTGTGAAACAGGGTTTCACGATTGACCGTGGTGACAAGAAGGCCCCCCTACTCACCGCTGCGGGCCTACCCCGAACGAAACGTTCGGGACGCGGCACCCCTTTCGTGTGCTCTTGATGGCGCGCCTCAAGCTCTCCGGGTCCAGTTCCTGCATCTTCCTCTCGCGTGAGACGTTCGGCTGCGGCATATTTGTGTACGTACGCACGAACGCGCAGCAGTCACAACGCAGCAGCAGTTCGTTGTCGAAACAACAAGGAATTGACGATGTTGTTGACATATTGTTGGTGCAGTTCTCTCTCTCGCTTTCGAGGTAGCTTTTAGACTACTATGAGAGTTATCAAGACCACGAGCGGTTGATAGTTCGGTTCTGTTGCTTCTGATGCTCATGCCATTGTGAACTATATTCTCGCGGGATACACCAGTTTCATGTTATGAATATCAGCCATGGACCCTTCGTGCGCAATCGCTTTGGGTGCGTTTCCCGTGGCTGGTTTTGACTATTTCATTTCTCGGCAAGAAGGGGAGAGAGGGCGAAGAAGTCGCCGCGCCTCTCGCGCGAAAGCCAACTCGCTCGCTCTACTAAGACTCTATTGCACTATACACCAAATCACTCAACCACAGAATAAACGTAGGTAAGCTGCGCGGGCGATCGCTATGTACATCATTTTGCCTCTGAAGCATATTGTTGCCCGAAAAAAACGCAGACGTTCGTCCTAAATGGACCGAGCGTGCCAGAAAATTCTCTCCGGAGCAGGCTCTTTTCCTCAGGGCCGCGTCGGCTCGTAGCCTAGCTCGCATCTAGCACTGCCAAAGCAGTTTCCGATCGCGTGGTGAAGCACAGGATAAGACTGCTGAAGTTTCTGCAGGCTCGCTTTCAGCTGAAATGCATCCTGTAGATTCATTGCGGTTATTCTTGGTAGTCTCACCTTTACAGAAGTCGGGGGCTTGATCTGAAACGACAGGCAGCTTTTTTCCGTAGAAAGGGGCTTCTTCTGCACCGCCAGACTATCCACCCTTCCCTGGACGGAACAAAACGAGGAAATCACGTGGTAGGCACCCAAAGATATCGAATGCGCTGGCAAGCACCATAACCAATAAACACAGGCAAGCCATGAAAGACATCTCGTGACTACCTTCTCCCTCGCCGGCTGTCTCATACATTTGATGCTGCTTGCGTCTTATACCATTTGACAAGCATATTTTCCCCGACACTCACATTGCGGAAACCCCATATTTGAGGTTTTGATTCCAATCCTCTATCGAACTCAGAAGAAAAAAACTCCACCTGGCTCCACCCAAAACTATGACACCGATGAACCATGCCCTCCCCGGCGCCATCCCCAAACGTTTCCCATCTACACGTTCGAGACGATCGTATGTATCTCACTCACCACGTCGTACGCCCCTGGCCCGGGCCCGCCCCCAAGCCTACCCGCGGCGGAGTGCGGCCGCTGTTCGTCTATCGGCGGAGGAGTCCCGAACCCCGGGGCCACCACCGTCCGGAACCTCGAGTCCATCGTCGTTCCAAGGGTGCTCGGGATGCTGTACTGACCGGGGGCGGGTCGGAGATCTCCCCGCGTTTGCGGGCGCTGTTGTCAGGGGGGGGGGATGCGTGGTCATGCGTAGACGTCGCCGGCTAGATTCGGAAGCGAACAAGACGGGTGGGCATGTACGGCACTGAACAACTTGTCGAAACACGTGGTAGCTAGGTGAGGGGGACAGAGTGATTCCTGATGCCCCAACAACAGTTACAGCTCGTTCTTTTTATCCTCTATTCGGAGATTCTATTCGGAGACGGGACAAATAGATCACCTGCGGGGCTTGTCCAAACTTTCCCCCGGGCTGACTCGGCCGGTCTTTTTCGTGCCACGAGTAGTGTCCCGGTCCCGGAACCTTCCTGTGACGGAGGGGTGTCGCGGATCGTGGTTTTGATTGCGAGCGAAAAGCGTCACCATCTGAACCAAAAGTGCTCCTGTTGTTGTGTTTCTACTAGCGTGTGTGTCGCCTACGAGACGCGTGTTCTCGAATTCTAGGGAGGTCTCGCAACGAAACGACGGCGTGGACACCGCCCACAAGGACGCTCCAAGAGTTGCCGACGAGGGCCGAAGAGCCGGCCTCGATAATCGACCATCGATCAATGCCTCATTTCCATTCTCGAGCATAAACGTGATACCCCCAATTTTATATATATTATTTGCTCCCAAGGATGATGACCAGCTTCTGGTTGGTCCTTGTCGAAAGTAGCGTTCTGGGCCGGCGAAAACCCGGCATATCGCTCCGTCTCGGCGTTGTAGGGACGCGAGGTCAATGGTCTACCCAACGACTACGGCATGCGTCTACCTGAGTACATCCGCCCATCACTCTCCCACTTTCAAGGCCTTCGCAGAAACTGGAAGGTGTCTTGGCACCGCCTAGCGGCGGTACCCCCCAACCCCGAAGCAACAAGGGATGTTTTGTGCTAAACCCAAAACAGTTATGCCTTATACGGCAAGTGAGCCGCCGAGGCGACTACGCTGGTCTGTGTTCAGTGGCTTAAACACGACGTTTTGCGAAAAGGAGAAGATACTACTGGATTGACAGTGCAATGGAGACGTTGCCGGAGAGGTGGAGGGTGTACCTCATCAGATGCTGAGCGAACAATCTCGTGCGGACGAGGTGACTGATTCACACGCTGCAACAAGACTACCTCTTACAATACGACGCGATCTCGGGCAACAAACATTGGGCGACACCATCAGGCACTCCTCTCGCCTGGCATTTCATTTTTGGTGGGTGTTCTAGAGTTAGAGCATGTATCTGTACACTTTAGAGTTCATTGGAGAACGAATAACAAATGTCCAGGTTCACAAGGAGGGTTCTTCGAACATGTTGAGCACCTAGTGAGCGTGGAGAAGAAATATGAGGTGTTGTGTAACTATTTATGGCCCCGACAAAGCATAAGCTACCCCACAGCCTCGCCAGGATTATGGCAATTTCTCGAAATGTTCGCGCGCAAGCGATGGTACCGAACTCGAGAATAGTTCAGCAATGGCCTACCAGGGTTTTTTCGTAGTTCAGGCTCGCTTGTGACTACGTAGAGTATCACCCCTTTTGGATAGATTTCATGGGTAGGGAAGAAGAGGTATTTCATTCAAGTCAGAACGGCAGTATTTACCAACCACAGCAACCAAACAGCAACTCACCGACAGCATTATCCAGATGTACGACACTTGGCTCTGCTCGCCATGTGTTTCGGCACGTTTGTCCGTCATGTTTAGCATAAATTATTCGCAAAAGTTCGTGCGTGGAAGGAATAGAGGGGCACCGACTTGTCTGGGAGGGGCGATATCGGTCGCCGCTTATGTATGGTAAACCGAGAATATGCATCCAGCGCCTGATGGTCGGTCGGCTGAGGCCCTTGCAGCAGAAGAGGAACGATGAAACTGCTCGCCTTCCTCCACGCTAGATCCCCGGCTCGGCAAAGGCTTTGCCCGTGTTTGCCTTTGCGGGGCAACTCGCCAACCTCGCGGAAGTCTCATCTCGCACTTACGACACCCTTTCCCCCTGCGTACCTTGAGGGAAGGGCCATATCTCTAGCGACCCCGCTGCCCCCAAAACCGAAGCCCTTGAATGACGTCCGCGTCGACTCCTTCTGCTCCCCCAATGATCCGTAGACGTTGTATTGCCCTGGGGAAAAGGTAGCGCGATTTGGGGGGGGGGGTGACAATGTTGTTCCAGCCATGAAGCTTCGTGCAGCTTTCTCAACAGATTTCGAGAGCTGGCGCTCCGGTTTGTTTCTTGCAGAGCTACAACGAGGCTGGAGGAGGGGGGAGATACGGGGACATGCGGTTGGGCGTGTCCGATACAGCTTGTGCCGCGTGGTATCGACCGTATCACGTGGCCCCCTCCTCACATACCAATGTGCTAGTTGGCACGTGATGATGGTAAGAGCCGCTAGTTGGCCATAGCCGGAGCTGTTCATGGTCTCCCTCTCTGGGTTCATTCGTCTGTATATGTCCGAAGAGAAACCGGATGCATTAATGCCTGCCTTTCGAAAATACTTTTTGGCCCTTGTCTGGGAAGACCTCAGACCAACCGCGTACCCCGGTGACACCTCGTTCTTCGACAACTTCGGGCGCCTCCCTCGTCTCGTGTTTGCCAACACCACAGCATCCAGGCATTGCGCGCGGGGTGGGAAAGCCGCCAACAGCAGACCTCCCAGCAGCACACACAAAGGGCTAGTTCCCACAATGTTTCTACGAATTCCCACTTGGAGAATCGTGTTTATTCTAAGGGAAAACTCGCACCGGAGAAGAACTGCTGTGCCGTAGGCCGACGAGAAAAAGAGCGAAAACAAACTAACCAACGTTCGAGATTTCCTCAAATCGTGAAGGGACGACACAATGGTGATAAATACCTACAGCACCACGATGTAAATACTTACAGCACCACAATGTAAATACTTACAGCACCACAATGACAAAACAGCAGTTCGCCGTGTCATTATTAATCAGCAAGAGCCCGACCTCTTCAAATCATGACTTCTCCACAATCAACCAATCGCAACCCCTTGCGCACCTGGCCCTGGCGACTTCGGCGCCTTGGTCTTCTTCCGCCATGGTGCGCCAGCCATGGAGTACTTGGGGCCGGGCGGCTGGGCGCTGACGTTGACCGTCGCTGTCATAGGCCCGGGACTCTGTTGTTTCCGTAGGAATACCGGGAGGCGGTCTTTCAACAGGGGAAAGGGGGTGCGGATGCTGAGGGTGTGTGAATACCCGCCAAGAACGGGCACCGCTTTTGTCTGCTGCGCGTATCTGGCAACTCGACGGGGCATGTTGGCTTCCTGCCCAACCCAAACGCCATACATCTCCTGTCTCTTCTCTGTCTAATGGCTGCGTGTCTCTGGTCTTCCCTACCAATACGTACGCCTTCCTCAACGTGCTTGCGTTTTCATGGTACCTCCTAGCTTCTTCGAAATAAATCGATCTGCCGACATCCTCGCTTGTTCCTCTTCTCACAACCTCTCTTATTCTTGCTTCTCGGCTCTCCGTGCCCCTGTTTAGTGGGATACCTCCCTACCCCTCCGTTTGGTTAGCCGGGATACCATGGCGTATCTGGATTGGCACAGCAAATTCAAGGGTGATGACCAACTTCTGGCTCATCCTTGTGAAACGCAGCCTGGGTCGGCGAAGCAACGGCATGTCGCTCCGTCCGACATTCTGAGGATGCGAGGTGAATGGCCCAACGGCTACGGCATGCGTTTACATCAGTACACCCCCTTTCTATCCCCCACGTTCTCTCCTCACCACGCATCCTTCCCCGTTGAGCGGCGGCCGCTGCGAGCTGCCGAAAACTGGAGTAGGCGCTGTCTTGAACCGCGACTGTACCTGCTGCCCGCAAGTTACCCTGCGCCCCGCCCCACCAAAAAACAAGAAGTCAACAGTAGCTGGCGGTGCTTTGGTGTTGTACGGGGCTAATGCGTCTTGCCGGTGTCGTTGGTGCCAAGATTGAGCCTGTGCGGGCGTATATTCTGTGCTCTAGAAACGGTCTCCCGGCGGACAAAACGCTTCAGTATCTCGTGAGCCTGCCTTATAGTACTGGGCTGCTATCACTAAAGGCAAGTTCGAGTCGAGGCCCACTTTCGTTTTTGGTCGCTACCGTCAAGTGATGATTACGTAGGCTACAAATGTAGGATGTGTAAAGGATCTGCCGCAAAGCTGCGAGTCTTACATCTCGGATTTCATGCTTTTGTCGGGAAAATTGTATATTTCCGTATCCAGCGCGGTAGACCTTCGTCTAAAAACGCCGACAAATACTACCCTTACCTCTCGCCCGCCCTTCCTCGAAAATACCTCAAGAATGACGGCATAAATGTCGACCATTGGTAATCGACGTCCTCTCGCTCTACGGCTTACCTGTGCTACTGCTGTGCTGAGTGCTCAGACCTAAGCGAACCGGGATGTAAATGTCACGGCGACATTTGTCTAGTTAAACCAGAAAGAAGGAGAGGACACCATATTTCGACCCTCACCCACCCGTCCACTACTACTATCCCCCCACCACCCCCCTCCAACCTCCTTCTGCGGTCCCCCCCCGCGGGGGTCCGATACTCACTTGTCTAGCTCGTACTGAGGTCCCGGTGTGTTCTTTCCGTTGAGCGTCTCCACCGGCCTCCCCTTATCGTTGATGCCGTCCGTATAGTGTCCCCATCCCACTACGGGCTGGGTCCTTCGCTCGCAGGGGAAACAGGCGGAGAACATCAAGAGAGAAAGAAAGGCGTAGGTTGTGCGAAGCCCGGGTCGATGAAGAGTACAGAATGTGACAAGGGTGCTGATCAAAGGTTACCGTAGAACGGCTTTGAAGAGTCGCTAGCGAAATACAGTGAGGGAAGCAACTGTAACCGCGGCACGGGCACGTAGCATCTACCGAAAGTGGACACCATCTGAGAGTTATCGAAGCCCCGAGACCATACCTGAAGTTGGACAGAGGCTGCCTGCCGAGGCCGTTTGGAACCTGGCCCGAAAACCCCGGGGATTGTGATGCTCGAATCTTGTCAAGCGTCGACGCTCGGAGCGACAGGCAACCATCCCGAAAGTCGGCCTCTGGCCCAGTCCCAATGTTCATCTCCTTCTGCGATGTTGTAGATTATATCTGCCTGTCGTTATTTCCCTGCCAAGAGTGCTTGGTGCTAAGGGATGCTGTTTGTGTTGAACTCCTGCTGTTGTTGTGTTTGCACCCCCTGCGATGAGCTCGAAAACCAGGAGCTTCTTCCTGACGAAATATTGTCCGATGTTCTTCGAGGCTAGTTGTTATGATAGCCTTAATCTACCTGAGGCCCTTGATGCTGAAAAACGTCTAACATGCAGAGATTCTGTGTGCTCCGTTTGACGCGTTCAGGGGTTCAGCAGTTTCCTGCGAAATCGTTCGACCAGTTTCAAGGAGGGTCGTTGTTCGCACAGGGGTGGAGAAGTGGGCGACAGGGGAGCCTGGCCAATCAGAGCTTGTTGGTCGATACGGGCGTCCACACATGGTTATGTCGGTGCGCAGGTCGAGAATACAGATGTACAGGACCGGGGTACAGTAATATGTAGTGGTACTACTGTACTGTGCTGTAGAGGATGTATTGTGTACCACAGAGTGTCCTGATGTGTGACCCATCGTTCGGCAAAAAAGAAATTGCAGGCTTCAGCACAACTTTGATGATCTGCATGAACTAACCTCGATAGTCCCTTCGCTAGGACAGGGGGGAGAGCAGAGATCCACTCGAGGTTGCTACCAAAGTAACAAGCCAGGGCTTTTTGTTGACGAGTGAGGTGGGACACCCTTTGTGAAGAAGCAAAAGTATGCATACGTATAGTCTATGGTAACAAGGCGGAGTGACAATTTGTTGCTTGTGGAGCTGCAACAAATGGGCGATGTGGGTTATCAGGTACCCAACAGGCTAACAAAACAACGTTGGGTAGGCACTGTCGATCGCATTCACTTGCACGCAAGACATCAGAACATACAGCGCCCTCATCCCGCGTACATCCCGCGCACATACCTCAGCCGAGCACCGAGCACGCCTGCATCGGTTCGGCCGCATTATTTGGCTTTTGGAGAGGTTCTTTCGAACGGCACGAGAGTATACCTCCGGCTCCTCCAGAGGGCAAACGGGGATGTGGGAACAGTTGTATTCAGCACAAGCACACATGTTCTTACCTTCTTTAGGTGGACCCACTCGCCAGGCGGGCAAGCCCTCGTGTGTGCGCGGTGGGACTCTGGCTAGTGGGTAGCGGGGAGCTGTAGGAAGCGGCGTAATACATGACGGTTGACCGGCGGCGCATCTTCCCATCTTCCGAAGCGTCAACCGCCCTCACGCCCTCACAGTACATGTAAACTTGATGACTGAAACCTGAAAACTGCTGCAAGATGTTATCGTGTCCCTTCGAACGACATACACCCATGGTTTACGTTTGTGAGACAAATCGGGGGCTTCACACTTGTGGGTCACGTGACATTGACATTCGTCATGTAGTCTATGTCATGAGATTTGTCATGGTGCCTCCATGGTTCATCATTGGGAAAAAAAAATACATACTGCTGCCTGCTCCTTACTGATTCGCGTATCTGACACAGGGCGGCATCCCTCCCAACCCTCAGGAGTGTGGTGCATTTGAATTGATCCGTGACCTTCGTACAAGTTGAACAAGCTCCCACCGACGTGCGTACACGCCAACTTGTTCGTGTATACCTGATGAGACCTGCCAACATTGGCCTGCTGAAGCCTGCCTGGGGATCAACGTGCGGAAGCAGGGAGTAAAATGTTGTACCTTGTGCAATACGTACGTACGTGTGTTTTTCGTACGTGTGTGTGTGTGTGTTTTTGCTTCTTCCATAAAGGGTGTTATGTACAACAGTACAAATTTAGCACACCCGACAAACCAACATACCAACCAACATCTTCCTTCTACACCTTTCCAGCATAACATGCAGAGAGATACACAAGACGGCTACCAAACTGTCTTGTTGAGCCTGTTACCCACAGGGGAGATGTCACTGTGTGCTGCTCGGGAAATCGTGGAAACACAGGTAGCCTTCCTCTGACGCTATGGATTCATTGCTAATCTATCTTAGGCTCTTTTCTCAGATAGAGATGGATTCGTTGTGTCATATTAAGAAAATACAAACATGGTTTTGTCATGATGCATCATGAGACAATTACCACGGTGCCACATCATGCCTCATCGTGCCTCTTGAGAATCATGAGAATCTCATGGTGCTCCGTCTCATCATGGTGCTTCGTGAGAATCTCACGATGCCTCAAGATGCTCTATGGGTGCTGCATCATGGTGCACGAAGAAAATTGGATCGTCATGAGAGTCCCAATCAATGGTGGTGTGTGCACCCATGGAGAAGGTTCTGTCATAGGACATTTGTTACGTGATCCGTGAAAAGGATATTCTCATCAGATATCACGATCGCATGCAACAGTGCATCATCGAGTACAAACATGATACATTTTGAAATCCACGTGGTCGGGTCATGACCCGGCCATGACCCGGCCATAACCCGGCCATGACTCCAAGCCGAGTCATGGTCGCTCGGCCATGGTCCCGGCCATGACCCGGCCATGACTCGGTCATGACCCTGCCATGTCCCGGCCATGACCCACGACCATGAGCTAACCCAATAGTGTAACTCAACCCACTGGATCGAAGGAAATAAAAGGAAAAGGCGAGAACAATAAAAACTTCGTAGAAAAAATGGTGCACTTCACATGCTGTACATCTAACATGGGTTGGACGAACCAAAACAAACAGCAGGAGGGATCGCACACAGTGGAAAGCCACTGGATTACCAGATGCCCCAGTCGTTCTCCCCCTTGGTGCCATTTTTGTTTGGGGTTTTGCATCCAACGCTCGTCGTTTCTACCTGCCTTTCGGTTGTGGCTCTCGAATGGCCTGTCCATCGTATGTTACAAGGTCCAGAATTGGCGTTGCTTTCGCGTCACATGTCGAGGCAGCAGGTCTCCGTGTCGCCCGTAGAACTGTCGGTGGACCAAGACACCGAAAAACAGGGGTTCGGAAATAAGAAACATCTAGTTCGGGTCACGGCCGATTTTTTTTATCCGTCGCTACCGTCAAGCACAGGTTATTGGTACTATCCGGAGCTAGCTGTATCGCTACGCCATACAAGACTGGGCACTGCACCATGAAGCTGTACGCTATATTGGATTTGCATGGCAATACACCAACAGCGGTCCTACGTCTAACAGCTATCGGTCGCGGAAGCTGCATAGGAGTTGTGTTTAATCCAGAGGTCCTGGGTCTAATACGGTCCGTCACTATGCGGCTGTTCTATAGTCAGTCATACTTCGAAGGACATGCAGTAATATGATATCCCTCGCTCCGTCATATTGTTCAATACGCTGAAAGGCTCCACCCATTAAGCGAGCGGTTCTGCGTCGTGAACCCCCTTCTTCCTGGAAAGATCACACGGTCTTTCATGAAGTAGATCGCCTCGTGCATTGTTTTTGTCTTAGCAGTGGTGAGGGAGTGCTGGCTGCCTCGTCGTTTATTTCTTATGATGAAACGTCGCGGAGTAGACCAAACCGTTTGCGTCTTGTCGATTACGTTCACGGAGCGGATCCTTCTATCCAAGGGTCAAATACCCTTACCAAACCCATTGGGGCATATCACGTAGCGGCGAAGTGGGAGATTTTTTTCGGAAAGTTACGGAGCTGGGTGCACCAGCTTGTCCGTAGCGCGTTTTTATTTGCTCACGGAGAAGGTCAATCCACTCGGCAATGCAAACCGCACGACTTCGTAGGTTTGGCGCTCAGTACACTATCGGAGAAAAATCGCGGACTCATGCTGCTGATACCCGTACTAGCGGTTTCGTGAAATAAATGGCGTTGGAGGCCGAATACCAATGCGGATTTGTGTGCAAGGGTTCTGCGCGTGTGTGTGCGCCCCCCAGCCCGTGGCACCTTCCGCCACCTTGCGGCCAAAACAGTGCGAACGGACCAGAAACCACATACAGTCCATTCGTCCTCTGACCAAGCGCTGGCATTCATAGTCGCAACTCCACCATTCCCTGCGTCGATACGCCGCCCTCCCGCCAACACCGAAAATTCCTTTACCCTCCCCCAACGCGCGTACACGATCTGGACAACCGTAACATTGTTGGAAGACACATGAGAGAAAGTCATTACAATACTTTGAAGAGAACGCCCGCTTGATGCACTCGCGGCACGAACAGTTCTTGTCAGACAGGGGAAATCTGAGACTTGGAAATCACGTTAGTTAGCTTGGGGAGTACATTCATCATGTACTACTACGTGAAGAAGAACGTTCCTTCGACCCCGAAAAATGGCTCGAACATCCCAAACACACGCATAAACGGTTTCGTAGCGTTGCGTATCACGAAGCCGATCGAACCTTTTAACACAAGTGCTGTTTCAACTAGTTGTTTCATCTGGAGTGCTGCAACGCGTGCACACGAAAACAAGGAAGAGCAAAAAAACACACGCGAACTCCCTCCCATTGCATGTAAGTGTAACACTCGTATTTCATTCTGCACCAAACTAATGAAATAAGCCGAACCAGCCCACCATCCAGAGAGCGCTCTGGAACACAACCGCTTCGCGTGGCGACCCAGGGTGTAGGCGGCAAGACACCTGAAACGTCAAGATGGACGGAGTGGAGGGTTTGGGGATGTTCGTTGCTTATGCTCAGGTTGGCTTACATAATGTCGTACGCCGATCCCAAAGGGGGGGAGGCCGGGGCATGCTCATGATTTGCATCCCTTAGTTTGTTAGACCGTTGACCATACGTCATCCAGAGGACGGAGCATTGTACCCACAGGACCGATCACCGATCGATGGCCAATTGTCCCTTCCGTGGTTCAAGAATATTTTCCCTATCCTACCTATCCCATCTATCCTATCAATAGATCACTTGAACAGTGGGGAGGTCTTCCTCGAGGCTTGAGAGCTCAGGCCGTGTAACCAAAATAGAGTACCCATTTGTTCGTCCGTCGAGGGACTCAGGTCTGCGCGAGGTTGCACGCCCTGGAGATATTATCAACTTTGTTGTCTCACCAACCTCCTGTTGATGATTGGACTATCATATCGACCCCCTTACGAAGAAGTGAAGGTGCAGCACGCGTCCAACCAGCAACGTCAAAAGACATACTTCTCTGCCCGCCGGCGCCCTTTAGAGCACGCACAGAACCTATTCCGATTGATCAAGCAGGTTTCTGTGGCAGCATACACATTCCATAGGTATATGCCTTTGCCACATGCACGCGGACACAGAAGTGCATCCAAACTAGCAAACCCTAACCAAGAAACCATCGTACTGAAGGCCGCGCCAGCAGGTAAGCCCGTTACGGCATTTCAACGACTGCGGGGTCGTTGAACAAGACAGAGCTGATTTTTTTTTTCATGATGATGACCTTGTTGCCCTTCCGCCGTACAAAACAGTCTAAATAAATAGGAATGGACATGAACATCAGATAATCATCAACCTTTGGCTGTACACCGGCAGCCTGTCCGCGGCAGAAACCATCTACCCACGGCCTTAAGCTCACCCGTTCGTGTTATTGGCAACCTCCTTGCGGTCAGGCTGGCCTTGAAGAGACTCGATTCTGCGAGGAACGCCAGAGAAACACAACCCTCCTGGCCGTAATAACTTCGAAGCCTTGACACAGAAGACTGGTACAGTAGCATATGTATACACAGAGGAGGCGGAATCATGAGGTATTTGTGCTTGGTATGGATGGCAGGATACAAGTAGAAGAATGGCCACAGGGACGTGCTTGCACGGCAAGAGTGTGCCGGGGTCTCAATACAGCAGTAGTCTAGACTAGTCTACTCCTGTGGTATCTGTCCGTGGATATGATGGCTGTTGTCTATATCTTGCCGATCCCAAGATCGTGGAACACTTCGTCATCGTACACGTCCGTGCCCAAGCCTAAAGTGTAGCAAAGGGTGTTTCGAAGAACGGAACGTCGATAACCGAAAAGCCTCAAGCACGGAGCGAATGCGGCTGAACACTGACAGAAGATCGTGTACCAACTCACGTCCACGTTTCGTACGTAGCACACTGCAGTTAGTCGCTTGCGGTCACCCCACATCAACCAGCGAAGGATCTCTTCGTTGCGCAAAAAGCAAATGGGAACTGCCCGGAGCTACAAGGCTACGCGTCAATTGTGCTCCCCGGGTGGTATACTACTGCTGCAAAAGCTGAAAGACTTCGGCACAACCCTGTCGACTGCTGTGGCTCGTATCTTACGGGTATACGATAGATATCCGTGCCTTCTTTTTTTTTTGTCTAATGCTAATTGGGCCGCATTTTTGTTTTGGGGACCCCGAAAAAACTCTCAAGTTGCGATCTCTCTCCTGGGATGCGCACACTCCCCGTCCTCGCATAAACCTCCGATTGACCACACACAACACACAGCAGAGCGTGAGCACAACGGTCAACAAAAACAACCGCGCCTCTCTCTCTCGCCATTGCTTCTGCCCTCCTGTCGGGCGCGTCCGTAGTTAGTAAGCCTCGTCCCCCAACAACAACAACGACAAGATGGTGTACAACCCGCCGGTGGAGCGTGGAGAGGATGGCGAGCCCATCAAGGATGGAGGAGTCGCTCTCACGCACCCCGTTAACCCGATGCGCCGCGGCGCGTACGTCGAGCAGGCGACGAGGGCGACGGGGTGGGCCGTCATGTATATCCTGGGCTGGCTCCTGATGAGGCTCTCGTGCTACGCCGGGCTGCCCGGGGACTGCAACCTCCCGGACGAGCCACTTGAAGTCCTGACGGTGCTGCTGGTCTTGCTGGTGTTCTCCTTGGCACAGGTGAGCAAGCTACACAGCGGGATTAGACTCGTGGCAGAAAGTAGCAGCACAAACCACAGCGTAGTGCGTGTCAGAAGCACACACACACCCCGTTTGCGTTCGTGGTGGTGGTATTCCACACGCGTGTGTTCTTCTGGTGAGCGCCGCGCGGCGCGCGGCGGCGGTGGCGGCGGGCAAAGTTTTTGTGCACCTCTCCCCGAATGTTCTTAGATCGTAGTTTTTGGGAAGCAGCGATCCCGCACCCCGTGTTACGGGCGGGGGGGTGGTGACCGTGTTGGGCACAAAGCTGTGATAATGTGGCGGAAAGCACCCGCGCCCAAGGAGCTGTTTCGTATGACATGTCCGTTGCTTGAACTCCACCATAGCACAACGCCTTGCCGTATCCACGCAAGTCACCCCGAGCTTCGCACAGCGGGTACCGTTCAGGATGAAAACGGTTGCACACCCACCTCCAATCTCTTTGTAATTCAAACACCTATCGGGAAAGGCAAGTCTCTTTTTTTTGTGTGTCGTCAGCAGCAGCTCCGCCACGACTTTGTGCTTCGCTCTATGGAGCAGGCGAGCTTGTCGTCGTCACGACCACCCTGTTGTCGATGATGTGTTGCGCTCTTGCGTAACAGGTTTTCGTGCAACCCAGCTACTACACAACCGCCTCATTTTGGCTGCTTCAAACATACGGTACATATGCATACCCGATGGTAGATTTGTAAAACGAACACCACTATCCAGTTGTTGCTGTCGTATCGGTGGTGCAGCCCCAAATTGTTGCAAACCGTCAGTGGTCCGCGTTGGGGAGAGAGTCTGTGTGCCCGGCGATGGCATTACTATTATACGGCGGATGCGCCGTAGGTTAGCCGCTTCCCCCTTGTTGGTAGAGATGCGGGACACGACGAGTTAATATTTCAGCTGTAACCCGACAGGAAAAAGGGTAACAAAATGCTCCTGGGGTTTAGATAAATAAGTAGCGAATGTAGAGCCGCCTTGCGTCGAGAAGCGGCGGCAGAACATATGAAGAAAAGACAACCAGCATTGCCTATCAGGGGAGTTTTGTCACTTTGCTTGCATGTAGCGTACGCTAGCCTACTCCCAACGACATGCCGGTTTGGACAACACGAGCATCAGGGTTCGGCGTGACATGTTACCGCGGACGTGTGCATGGATGAATGCATACTGCTGCTTCTTTGTTGTCGAGAATACGTATATGCATGCATTCATGCTTTCCACACCACCAGAATGTTGGCTCCCTGTGGTATAAGTAGGGCATGATGCGCGTGCGTTGTGGTGCGCAGCACCGAAAGTGTGTTTTAATGTTTATAGAAATAAATATGTGTGCATACTTGTACGTACTATGCAATGCGTACATCACTGAGACTAAATAACCCGTTTCGAGATAGTACTGCTGCTGTATAATACCGCAGCAATCGAGAAAAGCGGTTGTGTTTCAAGTCTTGTCACAGACTGCGAGGGCAGCAGTCCACGCAGCAGGCCAGTTGGTGTTTTGTGTTCTCTTCCCGGCGTTGTATTGCGAATGTCATTGAAGACAGTTCAAACACTTGCACCCATTCCCTTTGCTTCGGTGAGAAAACGGACGTGTGCATACAGGAGAGTGAGTGCCCTTTGTGTGCATGCACCAGCCTCGTAAACCTAGCTAGGTTGAAGAAAAGCTGCAATAGTTTTGTATTTTCTTTTTTTACCGACGGCACCTGAACGATCGGTGCGCGCTCGGCAGGCACACCAAGTCACACGCAACCTCCACCCCTCCACCGGCTAGTCTCTCTCCCCATCCCCACCCATGACAGCAGCAATCGTGGCTACACAATGCAGCCGTAGTTGCGTTGTCGGCGGTAGTGGGCCTTGGGCACCCATTGCAGGTCAAAGAATGCTCGTGGCTCTTGTATCCGTTTTTGCGGGCACGACGTCTTGGTCCAGCATCAGAGCACCATCCTTCTCAGATATCGTTCCATGGATGGAAAGTATATTCCCATGAAGTGTATATAGAAAATATTTATTGCTGCGCCGGTGGGGGCAAGTTACCAAATTCCCGAAGGGGAGTCTTGCGTGTACCATGGACGGAAGATGGACATTCCCATGGAAGGTATCCCCTCCCCCCCGAATTTTGATTACCATGGAGTAATACATTTAAGTCTCGTGTGTACCATGGATGGAATGTATTTTCCATGGAAGTTATATGTACCATGGATGGAATGCACACTCCCATGGAATGTATGTTCACCCCCAGGTCCCCCGAACTTTGGTGGCGCGACCCAGCGAGATAGATCTTAGAGGAGAAGGGTTTCTATTTTTCGGCTCAAGGTTACCTCTCAAGACGTGTTTCTTCCACCCTCGCCGTTCATTTAAGGGACTCCGGGACTTGAAATGGTTTTAATGTGGCGGAACAAATGAAGTTCCACAGAACGATTTCTTCACGGCGGCTGCGTTGCCTAGGTTTCGGTGATTTGCTTTCTGGCTGCGATGCTTTGATTTAGGTTTTTCTGTCTTTCTCTTGTTTGACCGCTGCTGCCCCACTCCTCTGTGATGGATACTCCTTTGTGATGGATACCCGTCGAAAATTTGGCCTCGCGTTGCTGCCTTGTGCTTCACTGTCTGTGTCGTTTGACCGCTGCTGCCCCGACTCCTGTTGTTATGCGTGCTGCCTGTGCGCTGCGTGCTGCCTGTGCCCTGCGTGCTGCCTGTGCCGGTCGACTCGTTTGGCCTCGCTGGTTCCTTCCAGGCGTGGTTCTGCGAGATCATGGAGGAGAGAAGGTTCCGAGATCTGGCTTCCAAGGTCTACTTCCCCCTCTTGATGGTCGGAGCGTGAGTGGACACAGCAGTGGTTGGCATGCATTCCGTCCGAAGTGCCGCCTTCTCGAATGTAAAGCAAAGGGCCGAGTCCCCCTCTTGATCGTCGGACAGGGAATGGAAACACGTAGCACGCAAGTTTTTACCGCCTTCTCAAACGTAAAGCAAGGGACAAGAGTGTTTTGTCGAGCGCCGCGCTATGTAGTCGGGAATAGAGCAGATTGACGATGGAGAGAGCAGATTGATGACACCTAAGGGTTGCTTAGAGTACGCGCACTGCTGTGCTTATTGCGCCGGGCCTGTGCCCAGCCTGGCATGAAATCACCCACCCCGACACACACACCCTGCCATTTTCGTTGCTGCAAATGGGAGATGCTGGCAACCCCGTCGCCTTGAGAGAAGAAAGGTTTCTTGCGAAAAGAATAAATGCGCGCCCTCTTCGTGTGGACTGGATTGTTCCTACTTTAGTGTGCGTGTAATGCACGTTGAACTGTTCCTATTCCAACTCTCTCTGTGGCCGCTGTCTCCCCATTTCTGTCGCGTCGGGGGATGATAACTCCTTCCATCTTTCCGAACACAGGGCCCTTGCGCTGTCGGGGCTCTCGCGAGCAGAGTCCCTCCGCAACTCCCTGCAGGAGGAGAGGAGAGACCTGACAACCTTCCAGGTGGCGATCTTCATTATCCTCCTCATCCTCACGGTGGTCGTCTTGCTGCTGCACTTCGCAGAGGCTTGGAAGGTCCTCCCGGGCGCTCACCTCATCTCCGGCGTCGGGGTGCCCCGTGTGGAGGTGCGCAGGGGGTGGGGGGGGGGGGGGGGGGGGGAACCCAAAAACCGGGGATGGCCAAAAC